GCAAGGGCTATCGCCCTTAGACTTCTATCACGCGAGAACGCGGTTTGGACTTCCAAGGACAGTGCTGCAATGCGCGGCTGCACTGGAGCAACCTGCGCGTACAAGGGAAAGCGCAACAGCAGTGGCTCAGAACCCTGAAGGTTACAGAGTTGCAGTCCTGCTCGCTTCTGCATCCACTCTCCCCTTGCTCCTTTGTGGGGCGTCGGATCGGCATTGGGAAATGAAACGGATCCGCCCGCACTGGATGTTGCTGACGGATGGGCCAGCCGCGATCCCCGACGATCGCATCCACCCGGAAGCAGAGGTGGCAGCGCAGGGCATCGTAGGACCACGCGAGCCGAGTGCGGAGGAGATTGAGAGGCGCGAACTGACGCACCACCCAGCAGAAGTCCCGTTCAGCTCTGCGTGCAGGCGAAGGCCAATGACGTGGCACACGAGAGGGTTGACGGGAGGGACGCCGTCATACCGCTGATCAGCTTCGATTACCCTCAGGCAGGAGCGGAGGGCCATCCTGTCAACTTCGAGTTCGTGGTCGGGAACGATGCCTCCACGGGCAGCACGTGGAGTACAGTCATCAAAAAGGGTCGCGACGACTCTTACACGAGATAGCCTCAGCGATGCCGTGGTTGGCTGAACTGGGACGCTACCGAGTCGAACTACAGCCAGGGGAGAGCAGCGGAGTTCTCTTTCATCACGGCGGTGAGGAAGAAGGCGCTGCAGGACGGAATCTGCCAGACCATCCTGACGAGGCAGCCAGCGAGGCACAACTCCCAGGCCAACGGACGGGCAGAAGGAGCAATCCAGACCGTGAGGAAACAGGTGAGGACCCTCATGTTGGCGGCAACAAAGAAGGTTGGGAACAAGCACTTCACATCGGTCTCCCCGTTCCTCACGTGGTTTCCCCCGCCACGCAGCACGGCTCTACAAGAAGTACGTGGCAAGGGAGGACACCAACCTGACACCCTACGAGAAGACGCGCATGCTGAAGTACCAGAAGCCGATCGTGGCAGTCGGCGAGGCGGTGATCCGCAGACGGCCCGGAGTCCAGGTCAACACACTGGAGCTCCCGTGGCTTGACGGTATCTGGCTGGGCAGAGATGCCAGGACCAGCGAATACATCCTCGGCACCCCGACGGGAGTCATCAGGCCCAGGGCGACGGGCGGAAGGTGGAGAGCAAGCGCTGGGGCCCAGCCTTGTTCGACAAGATGACCTGGACGCCTTGGGAGGCGACCCCGGTGTCGAGGGGAAGGCCACCGACACAGAGATCGATCCAGGAACCGATCATCTCGGGGCGCCTCCCCAGGATAGTATTAGGTCGGACGTGTCCCCATACAGGCGGATTTTGGGCGAAAAATAGGAAACATTCGAAACAAAATCAAGAATAAAACAAAAATAACAAATTAAAAAAAACGTTTCTGACTACTTCTTACTACTTTTGACGTTTCCTCTTGTAGAGGGACTCGCCCGACATAATAGGGCACGGGCTGGTTTCGCCCGGCTGGTTTCACCGGGGCTGGTTTCGCCGGAGCTGGTTTCGCCCGACGCTGGTTTCGCCGGCGCTGGTTTCGCTCGATGCTGGTTTCGCCAGCGCTGGTTTCGCCCCGCTGGTTTCGCCCCGCTGGTTTCGCGGGACATTAAAGTGTGGTGCATAATCGAGTGGGCGGGTCGGGTCGGGTCGGGCGGACCCTGACGGGCGGGTCGGGTCGGGTCGGGTCGGGCGGACCCTAATGGGTGGGTCGGGTCGGGCGGGCGGGACGTTAAAGTGTGGTGCATACAATCGAGAGGGCACACGAGAACCCTAACGGTCGGATCGGGTCGGGTCGGGCGGAGCCTAACTGGCAGGTCGGGTAGGGTCGGGACGGGCGGACCCTACCGGGCAGGTCGGGTCGGGTCGGGTCCAGCGGCCCTAACCCTCTTCCCTCCTCCCTCCGTCCTGCCCTCGCTCAGCAACCTCCTCCACCACCTCCACCTCCACCTCCTCTTCCCCCACCTCACCCACCCACCCCCACCTCCTCCTCCTCCCTCCCTCCTCTCCTCTTCCTCCTCCTCTCCTCCTCTCTCCTCCTCCTCCTCCTCCTCCACTCCTCCTCCTCCTCCTCTCTCCTCCTCCTCCTCCTCCTCCTCCTCCTCCTCCTCCTCCTCCTGCACCTCCTCCAGCAGCCAGGCGAAACCAGCCGGGCGAGACCAGCCGGGCGAAACCAGCCGGGCGAAACCAGCCCGGGGGAAACCAGCGTCGGGCGAAACCAGCCCGGGCGAAACCAGCGCCAGGCGAAACCAGACGGGCGAAACCAGCCGGGCGAAACCAGCCCCGGGCGAAACCAGCGGTTGCTCATAATGGTAGAGGCTCGGTTGCCAACCCCACAAGCCGAGGCGGTGGGAGCACCAGCACGACGATAACCCCACCAGGAGGAGGAGCCCCACCAGGACGAGGAACCCCACCAGGAGGAGCCACAGCAGGAGGAGCTCCAGCAGCAATGCACGCTCTTGACTACCTACCAGACCACCCCAATCCAACCCAACCCGAAGCCCCAACCCGAAGACCCGAAGACCCGAAGACCCGCCCCCCAACCCAACGGGTTGGGGGGCGGTGCGAGGTTTATATGTGTTTTTGTCCATGTTCCCCGACCCTCCCCCCCACACTGGAGATGGAGGGCAACTCGGGGCCTTTGGGTTGGGTTGGGGTGATTTGGTGGGCGGTGAGCTCCGAGGCCCGCGACAGCGGCACCGAGAGGCTCCGCATCATTCGACGGCACGGACGTCGATAGGACCAGACTGCAAGCTGAGAGCTGCAGGCACAGGTCACCTGCGGACGTGAATCCAGCAGCACCAGCTCCGGCGGTGGGTGAAGGGGCCCAGGGACCCACACAAATAAATAGACACTAATAACAGGATTCCCCATATTTTCCTGTATGTTCTGGGTTTTCGTCTTCCCCCCCCACTTCCCATGTTTTCCCATGTTTTCCCATGTTTTCCTGGGAGTCGACGATTAATTGTGTCTGTGTGTTTCTTCCCTCCTGAGTGGGAGCGGCAGCGGCGAGCAGCGCAGTACCACCAGCTCCCGCGGTGACAGAGGCGGCACCAGCAGCCGGGGCAGCGGCTCCCAGACGGCAGCGAGGCGGAGACGACGGAGGTGATCAGGCCAGGAGCAAGTCACGGGATCGCTGCGATCTGCGCGGTCAGCGAGGTGTGTGAGGAGCCGACGGTGGAGGACGTCGAGGTCTGCGCGAACGGATGCGATGTCGATCAGGAGAGGCTGGAGCACCTCGAGAAGATCGCGGGCGACGGCAAGCAGATCGAAAAGCACATTCCGATCCTCCAGACGACCTCCAAGATCCTGACAGGCAAGTGGGTCGACACCTACCAGGCCAACGGCAGCAAGAAGAGTAGGTGGACCACGCGGGGATTCGAGCAGCAGACCTTCGGGCATGAGAACTTCGTGGCCACCACGCGGAGGTGAACGGCCACGTGGAGGTGAACGGCCACGTGGTGGCATTCGGCGACTGCAGTGGGGCATTCTACAGGCGTCCCTGATGGAGAACAGGACCTTCTGGAACCACCACCGGAAGCAGGAGTACAGCAGGTTACGTGTTGGAAGCGCTGTGCGCGTTCCCAGGACTCAAAGAGGCACCCAAGGCATGGGAGGATCACAGCGCAGTGACGATGGAGCAGATGGGTCTTGATCGAGGGCGCTACGACGGCTGCATCTTCATGAGAACCCAAGACAAGGTCAAGGGAGAACGACACTGATGACTTCCTCATGGCAAAACCCTAATAATCGGTTGACAAACTACTGGCGGAAATGAGCAAGAGGCTTAGGCTCTCGGACGTGGCGTACTTCTACAACACAGGCGACGAGGGCACCTTCCTGAGCATGCAGGTCAGAAAGATCAAGGGTGGCTATACCATCAAGGGTAAGACGTCGCTGAACAAGGACGTCCTACTGGAGCTCGGGTTGCAGACAGCGAAACCCTCAGTGGTCCCGGAGACGAAGAACGAGCAGAAGAACGACGACGAGTTCCTGAACGCAGCAGGCCACGGCGCGCACAGGATGTGGGTGGGAAGTTACTACGACTGTCAGGCCACGGGGCTGACATACAGCACGGAATTGGAGTGCTTAGCCGTGGCATGGCGGCACCAACGAAGAGAGACCAGCGTAGGCTGAAGATGGCGAGGTACCTGACAGGGACCAAGGACGTGGAGCTGGCGTTGAAACCACACAAACAGATCCAGCAGAACGTACAGTGCCGGACGGACGCAGAGTGGCCAGACAACAAAGACGACAGGATCTCAGTCAGCGGCGGTGTACTGAAGTACCATCGGTGCACTGCTGTCGTGGACACGGCGTCAGGGCGGCGTGGCCCTGAGCTCAGCGGAGAGCGAGCTGTACGTATTAGGAACTGGAGCTGCCGTGACGCTCGGACTGGCATCGCTGATCAGCGAGTGGCACGAGAACGTGACGCCTGTCCTGGCGATTGACAGCAGCAGCGCACTGCGGAACGTGGAGAAGAGAGGACCGGGTAAGATGAAGCTCATCGAGATCAGGTTTTTGGCCTTACAGCAGTGGCGCGAGCAGAAGCGTCTGGAGTTCGAAAAGATCCACGCGGACCACAACGAAGCAGACATGCTGACGAAGCCGATGACCCAGGAGAAGCTCGTGAAGTTCTCCCGCAGCGTAGGTTTCGTAGGGGGACCGTTCCGCCCACCTAGCGACGACGGCGATGGCGAACTCGCCAAGGCAGTTCGGACAGTCCGTAGCCGGAAGAGGCTTGACCCAGCAGAGTGACCAGGAAGCACCAGCCCTGAGCGGCGCTGACAATAACAGACACAAGACTGACGGTGAAACCAACGTGCCTTACCTCAGCGAGTTTTCCAGAAATTCCCTCACGATTCTTGGCCGACAGGCCTGGCAGAATCGAGGGCGTGTTGAGGTAATGTGTTGCATGCTGGAGGGTAGAGGCATGCATGACCGAGGGCGGATGCATTGCAGGAAACCTGTGGG